AAAATATATTGAGACATTTATATGACACTGGGGAACTGAAGGGATCGATGCCATTTTTTTGTTGGGAGCGACCAAAAAAACAAAACAAAAAAAGGTTTAAACCATTTAGCCATCATCTCTTCAGCCATCACCACCACGAATGTTATTTCAGAACTTATCTGTTTGCTGGGTCAACTAAAAGGACACAAGGGCAATCTCAGTCTGTAACCTTTAGGTTTTTTTTTTGTTTTTTGAAGTACCAGACAAACAGTGTAAATGTTAAAACATCACCACCATATCGCCGTTGCCGAAACAATGTCCTTATGAGGAGAATAACCCGAGACTATAATTTTTAATTTGTGTAACGAAAGGGAGCCCATAAACATTCCATTTGTTGGCTACAATTCCGCTTGACATTTCATATAATTTTTGAAGTTTGTCTACCCATTCGTTGGAGCAATCTCTCTCTCTGTGCGATGAGAGGAAGGTGCCCTTTTTCTATGTGGCGACATTGTTGTTTAAGACCTTCATAAATTTACTTTAAATTATATCCTCCCACCCAGTGCGTTTTTGTGTTGTTATTGTTGAGTGGAAATCCTGTTCAAAATAGGCTGCAGGTTCGGTCGCATGTGTTAAATGGATATAAAGTACTTTGACAAATAATGGTCGTTATTTGTTTGTCATTTTTTGGTATCTGATTTTTGTGTTGAGCCCCGAGAAAGAAGGAAACAAAACAAGGATTGGCAATTATCATTAGCCGTTTGGTTTAATAAACTTTAAGTTTTTATAAGCATCGTTTTTGGTTAACAGAAGCAAGGACCTGAAGGAAGGAACCAAAGTAAAGAAAGACCCAATGTCGTACGGGGTCGATTTTATGATACCCTACACCAATATGTATATTAATGGAGCTACCCATAACAAATAAACGTTTTTATACCCTCCACCATACTATGGAGGGTATATTCATTTTGTCATTCCGTTTGTAACTCCTCGAAATACTCATGTCAGACCCAACAAAGTATATATATTCTTGATCAGCGTAAAATTCTAAGGCGATTTAGCCATGTCCGTCTGTCTGTCTGTGTGTCTGTCTGTCTGTCCGTCTGTCTGTCTGTCTGTCTGTTGTAATCACGCTATCTTTCGAACAAATTGAGATAGAAGGCTAAAATTTTGCACACATGTATATTTTGCCAGTAGGCAGGTTAAGTTCGAAAATGGGCCATGTAGGTCCAAGTTATCATATAGCCCCCATATAATGGTACCTCCCGATATTTGGTATTTTGATGATTTTAGCGACATTATTCATCGGAATTGTTTCAAATTTGGCATTTGAAGTTCGTAATGGATACTACATCGTAAGCCAAAAAATGAGCCATGTAGGTCCACGTATTCATATAGTCCCCATATAACGGTACCCGCCGATATTCGGGATTTTAATGATTTTAGCGACATTGTTTTCCGGAATCGTTTCAAATTTGGTATTTGAAGTTTGTAATGGATACTAAATCCTAAGTCAAAAAATGAGCCATGTAGGTCCACGTCTTCGTATAGCCCCCATATAAGGGTACCCCCCGATTTTCGGTATTTTGATGATTTAAACGACATTATTTAGCGAAATCGTTCCAAATTTGGTATTTGAAGTTCGTAATGGATACTACGGCCTAAGACAGAAAATTTTCTGTGCAGGTCCACATCTTCATATAGCCCCATATACCGTACCCCCCGATATTCGGTATTTTGATGATTTTAGGGACATTATTTATTGTTTCAAATTTCGCATGTGAAGTTCGTAATGGATACTTCAGCCCATGCCAGAAAATTGTCTGTGCAGGTCCACGTTTTCGAATAGCCCCCATATAACGGTACCCCCCCCATATTCGGTATTTTAATGATTTTAACTTCATTAAAAACAGATTTTTCTTCAAGTTTCACATTTAAATTATTGTAACAACTTATGACAAAATATGCCTATGCAGGCCCACGTCGTCGTATAAGCACTCGGTATTCTTAAAATTTTAACAGAATTTTTAACGGATTTTATTTTTTGGAAATTGCCAAATTTGTACCAAATGGTGGAGGGTATTAAAAGTTCGGCCCGGCCGAAATTACAGCTTTTTTACTTGTTATGCATTTAGATTAAGTTCCAGTTTATGATCGTTTTGATGCGTATTATGGCTTTCAAGCAGATATAATTTAAAGCCGAATGGAACTAATATATGGAAGTATTAATCTTAATCGATTTCCACTAAATTTGACGGACTGAACCGCTATTCATCAAAATCCTTCTTTTTATACCCTACACCACAAGGTGGTCAGGGTATTATGTCTTTGTGCATTTATTTGTAACAGGCAGAAAGAAACGAGATAGACCCATAGTTCCTTTTGATGATCTGCATAGAATCACATTCTGAGTCGATTTATGCATGTCCGTCCGTCCGTCTGTCCATGTATTTTTGTAAACAAAGTACAGGTCGCATTTATTGCCCGATCCAGATGAAATTTTGCACAGATCATTTGTTTCAGATCAAGGACGAACCCTATTGAAATTGGAGATAATCGGTCAAAATTTAGATATAGCTCCCATATATATCTTCGTCCGATTTGCTTTTTATTGTACACCAAACGTGTAATATCAGCCCGAATTGTATGAAATTTTGCATATACACCCAAATTAGGCCTGGAAATATGTATGCCAAATTTTGTTCGAAATCGTTTCAGATTTGGATACAGCTCCCATATATATTGTTCATCCGATTTGTTATTTTTGTCCACCGCTGCCGTAATATGCACTCTGCAACAACAATATTTGTGGAATATATAAAATACAGCTCAGAAATACATTTGCTAAATTTTATCGAGATCGGTTCAGATTTGGATATAGCTCCCATATATAACTTCGTCCGATTTGCTTTTTTATTGTGCACCAAACGTCGAATATTTGTCCAAATGGGATGGAATTTGGCACATACGACCAAATTGAGACTAGAAGCTAGTATGTCGAATTTGGTGAAGATCAGTTCAGATATAGCTATAGCTCCCATATATACTGTTCATCCGATTTGTTATATTTGTTACCCACAGCCGTAATATGCACTCCGTAACAACGATATTCAGGAAAATATATCAAATACAGCTCAGAAATATGTTTGCCAAATTTTATCGAGATTGGTTCAGATTTGGATATAGCTCCCATATATATCTTTATCCGGTTTCAAATTAATTGTGCACCAAATGGGCAATACAATTCCGAATTTAAAAGATACAAATGCTTCAGCATACTTAGTCCTTTGAACTTTAAAATATAATTATAATCAAAGTGTGTATGATTGAATTCTCCCATAAAAACTTTTAACTGTTATGTGGAGCCCTACTAAATTAGCATGGGGTGGGGTTATGGTCAGTATAGAAGCCTATTGCTTTTGGAGATGATCGCAAAATATTTTGGGGTTGAAATGGACCAAAAGCACAAAAATGTCCTGATTTTGCAGTAGTTCTACAGGTTTCAATTATAAGCCAATCGACGCGGAAGTTAGCATGCTATATCTGATTGCTGGGACCTAATATCGTTGTTGTGGAGGAACCTAAAGCTATATCAAAACCGATTTTAACCAAACATGATACTCTTTCGTCCAGGCTGAATTCGTTCGGGTGTGCTAAAATCCATTTAATTTGTTGCGCAATAAACCTGAAATCGAGTGAATATATATCTGGGAGCTACATCCAAATGTCGATAAAATTTGGCAAAGGTATTTCTGCCAAACAAATCGGCGATTCTTTTGAAACTTTGTATATCTACATATTTTTATACCCTCCGCCTTGGAAAGGAGGGTATATTAACTTTGTCATTCCGTTTGTAACATCCCTAAATATTCGTCGTAGATCCCATCCCAGTATATTTATTCATAATCAGCATAAAATTCTATGTCGATTTAACGATGTCCGTCCTTCTGTCCGTCTGTCTGTCTATGGAAATCACGATACAGCCCACATTATTTGACGTAGAGCGTAAAAATTTAGCAAAACAATTTGTATTGTGTCTAGGATGGTTGGTATTGATAATGAGATATATCGGTCCATGTTTTGATATAGTCCACATATTACGGTTTTTCCCGATATTCGACATTTTGATGATATTTCCCACATTTTTCACGGATTTGTGTGAAAATTGGTATTTTTAGGTCATAATGGGTCCTAGTTTGTGTGGCGAAATATTGTATGTAGAGGTCTACGCTTTGGTATAGCCCCCATATAACGGTACCTCCCGATATTCGGCATTTTAATTATTTTTGCCACATTTTTTCACTGATTTGTCTAAAAATTGGTTTTTATTGGCCATAATGGATTTTAGCTCCGGCGGCGAAACATTGCATGTATAGGTCCATGATTTGGTATAGCCCCCATATATTTCCTCCCTATTTTCGGTACTTTCATGATTTTAGCGACATTATTCATCGGAAATGTTTCAAATTTGGTACTTGAAGTTCGTAATATGACAGAAAATTGTATGTGCAGGTCCATGTCTTCGTATAGCCCCCTTATAACGGTACCTCCCTATTTTCGATACTTTGATGATTTTAGCGACATTATTCACCGGAAATGTTTCAAATTTGGTATTTGAAGTTCAAAATGGATACTACAGCCTATGACAGAAAATTATCCTTATAGGTTCACGCCTTCATTTAGCCCTCATATAACGGTATCTCCCGATATTCGGTATTTTGATGATTATAGCGACATTATTCACAGGAATTATTTCAAATTTGGTATTTGGAGCTCGTAATGGATTCCACATCCTAAGACAGAAAATTGTCTGTGCACCTCCACGTCTTTATATGGCCCCCATATAATGGTACATTCCGATGTTCGGTACTTAGATGATTTTAGCGACATTATTTATCGGAATTGTTTCATATTTCGTATTTGAAGTTCGCAATGGATATTATAGCCTATGACAGACAATTGTTTGAAAATTGACAAATCATTTTCCAGAGTATTTTCACTTGATTCAGGAGAGAGTCTTTTTATAAATGAGCTCTTGCTTCTCCAGGGAGTCGTTTTATAGGTCATATTTTTTAAAGGTAAAAATTTTAAATTTCTAATCTCGTTTTTTTCTATTGTTTCTCCACTTTTATTTCCATTCCATTGTCAATTTTGTGTCTGATATCATTTCCTTTTTCGATCTCTTTTTAAAATAGATTTTAATCAGGGCTTCATAGTGTGAGGGTAACATTAGAAATGGTGGTATATTTCTGGTATCCAACGTTAGGTTATTCCAATAGTAGACGCCCTTGAAAACATACAAAATCGTAACATTGTGGAGAACATAATATCATAGAGATATCCAAATGTGACTTACCTCTTTGAAGGGACAACTTCTGGGTAAATTACCATATCGCCAAAAATTATGAATCCATGCTGTGAGGAATTTTCCTCGTCCCTTGTCCAATAGATCACACACATTGACATCGTATTGCAGTAGACGTCGTGATCTATTCGTTGCCGTGTCTTTTAAATTTAACGCCAATGATAGCCATGGTATCTGATCGAATGTTTTGGCAATTTTTAGATAAATATCGAGTGAATCATTGCCGGGATTAATATGAACATTATACTCTTTCAAGTAATGGGTATTAAAGGATTTTACAACGGATACAGCATAGAGGCCCTTGGAAACGATTAGTTGTGGCAGAATTAGTGAATTTAGTAAAAACAAAATTATTTGACGTGTTGTTTTGCGCAGCATTTTATTCGAATTGATTTTAGAATGGTTAATGAGCTCATTTTTCAATGAATGATATCGTGTGGCAAAATGTTATGGTAGGTAATTAGAAATAACAGCCAATGACATTATTTTGGCAAATGCGTGGTAAAGCTCCCATATAGATAGGAGATAGGCGTGAGAATGTATAACCTATATACATTAGGAGTGTGGGAAATTCTATATATTTAATAGTATTTTTGGAAAACTGAAATTTTAAAAGCACTTTGTAAATCTAAATGCTCTTACAGAGGGTGATTCAGGCTTAGCAGATTTTTATTTGTATTTACGGCTCATTTGAAATTCATCCATTCATTGCGGGGCTGATAAACACTTATTTATTATTTAAATGGCGTAATGATAGACTCTCTATAATTTTAACAAATAATTGTTTAAAAAATGTTGTGGTCTCAATTTCTATTGGATTGTGTTCAAAAATGACTATCTATACAGGGTGAGATGAAAAAACTGCAACCAACTTCAGACTCCTGTCATTTCTAAGCCACTCCGACCGACAGCTGTTAAAATTATTCCAGAGAAAGCTTATTATATGGTTTAGAAGCGTACAAAAGCATGAAACAGTTATCTGTGATGGAATTTCGCTGGAAAACCACATGTGGCTATCGTTAGAGCACTCCAGCATTTAAATGTGAATAAATCTTTTGTGTCTCGAACGATCGCTCGTTACCGTGATACTGGTAGCGTAGCCCGACGTCAAGGAAGTGGACGGAAGAAAACAGCAACATCAGCAGAAAAGGTTCGAAAAGTAAAAAAGTGACTTGATCGAAACCCACGTCGCAGTGGCCAAAAAATGGCCGTGAGCTGAACATATCGCAATATTCCATTCGGCAAATATTGAAAAATGAGATCGGGGTAAACCATTGAAATTCCAAAAAGTGCAAGAACTTACACCGCAACTGAAAGACAATAGACTCAAAAGAGCTAAAGAGTTGCTTCGCCTGGCCGAAAGTGGTGAACTGTCCAATTTGGTTTTCTCCGATGAAAAAACATTCGTTGTCCAGCAATTTGTAAAAAAAAATTGATCGTGTTTGCTTTCCAAAGAGGTCAGCTAAAAATGTGCACGATCGGTTGGCCACCAGAACTCAAGCGCCGGCCATGGTGATGGTGCAGCCGATGGCCGCTCTCCGCTCGTATTAATCGACCGTGCCATCAGAATAAATGCCGAATATTATTCTGAAAATCACGCAAGCATTTTGGCCGCATACCTGGGATATTCCAACCGAAATCAGCACCAACGCACTCAGAGCGCGCCACCCAAGAATGGTAACAATATGAGGTTCCTCCCTACATTTTCAGCGCACAATGGCCACCAAAATCTCCGGATACCAATTAGTTGGACTATTGTGTTTGGAGTATTTTGGAAAGCAAGGTTGGCACTAAAAATACCAAAAGCAAGCGCTTCACCGGGAATGGGCCAAAATACCGCAGAGCAACATTCGGGCAGCGTGTGACAGTTTCATTGGCCGTTTGAAGGCTATAATTCGTGCCAAAGGTGACCAATTAGAACAAATCTAAACTCAATCAAATTCCGACATTTTTTGCTTTCATTCAATAAAATTTAAAAAAAAAAATGTAAAAATTATGGCATTTGATTTTGCTGCAGTTTTTTATCTCACCCTGTATATACATTCTTGATCAGCATAAAATTCTATGCCGATTTTGCGATGTCCGTCCGTCTGTCTGGCTGTCTGCTTTTCCGCCTTTCGAAGTTACGCTAGCTTCCAAGCGAAATGAAATATGTTGATACAATTTTACTCTGAAATGAGATATGTCTGCAGGACTTTTGATATTAAAATGGGCTATATAGTTCCACGTTTTGGTATAGTCCTTAATTTGAGACACAATTTTAACCCGAATCTGCCGTAAATTGACAGCATGTGTTCCCATTATGTATGAAACATTATTTCATAGAACTGTCAATATAGGTCTGCATTTTTGTATAGCTCACATATAAGGGTACCTCCCAATATTTGGTATTTTGATGATTTAAGTTATATTATTCCCCGGACTCGTTGCAAATTTTGTATTTGACGTTCCTAATTGGTACTACAGTCTATGACAGAAAATTGCGTTTGCAGACCCAGATCTTCGTATAGCCCCCACTTAAAGATATCTGGTTAGCTTCGTTATTTTGATGATTTTAGCACAATATTCAGCAAAATTGTTTCAAGTTATGTATTTGAATACCGTAATGGCCTATGGCAAAGATCAAACCATTTCTTCGTATAGTGCTAAATATAACAGAATTTTTGTTGAAAATTTGCAAATTCCTTTCAAATGCTGGAGGGTATCCAAAGTTCGGCACAGTAGAACTTACTGCTTTTTTACTCGTTTTTATTTTAATTGACATTGATGGTATACATACATATGTCGGTGGACACGACCGATATGTTCCAACTTGCTATGCCTATATTTTTTCAGGCCTTTAAACTGCGTGAATTGGTCCAGACCTCCATTTATTCAATTATATAAACTGTTTACTATTATATTTTAAAATTCTCCTATAGATTTGTCTCATAACTCTAAACTAAATATTTCAGGAACAAAACAGGTGTATATAACGAAATTGGACAATTCCTGTTCAGCCAATATCCAATTCTTGTGTATTTCTAATATGTACATATGTAAGTGCAGTCCTTCAAAGAAACCACTTGACTTGGTCGAGCGTTTTCATGTTTTCAGTTCTTTTTTTCTGCGCCTTGCAATTTCCAGCAATTCCTTTCATCTTGCCAAGCATTTGCCAATAATTACCTTTTTATTGGTGTTGGTAAAGATCTTAATGTCGATGTCAGAGCGGTTACGTTCTCCTATTGGTATTGCATTAAAAATGGAGAAATTTCATTTCCACCTTTCAGTTCAAGTAGCAGTTACCAGCCGCAATCCAATTCAACTTTGAATGAACAACAGAAACGGTGAATGGGAGAAGGAGGATAAAGAAAAACACAATTCTGGTTGACTGCTTGATCTCGATGTAATAGTTAGTAACTCTTGAGGGTCATTGTGAGAGAAAGAGAGAGGAATGGCAGAACGTTAAAGTGGCCTTATGTTGGGCGTAGCAGAAGCATTTTTATTCTACAAAATTTCAAAGTTAAGCAACGTGGTATTTTACAAAAATTTTGGTTTTCAAGATTAAAGACAAGGTGCTATTAAAACGACAATATCCAAAAAATCGAAAATTGCAATTCTGAATTTTTTTCAAAGATAAGAGAAGGCGGTAAAGGACAGCCAAGAAGTCTACCATTTTGTATTGCCATTGAATTGTACTTAGCTGATAAATGGACCACAACAACTAACAGCACGACGAAATTCGTAAATATTGGGCAAATGTCCTTGGTTAAAAAGCTAAGGGTAATATCTGGGCAATGCTCTATGACATAATTTCAAAAGCGAAATCTTCCAAAATGGATTTGGACATAAGGGGGCTTCTAGCACATTGTATAGCCTTTGCTTACTTGTTATGTATAAGGTTTTCAAACCTAGTACAATTTAGTGCAACTGTGTTCGAAATTGGAAATTTTCAATTCCAACGGATACTACTAGTCGTCTTGGTTTTGAAGTAGGTTTTCTTAGCGATGGAGAACTTAAACCCAGTTTTTTGTTCATATTTGAAATTTATCAAGATTGGGCGCCATCTTTTGGACATAAACCGGTTATCTCTTTATCGTCGCTATCGGAATAGAATATTAACCAGATGAAGTCGGTTTTCTTAGTGGTGGATAACTTAAACCCAGTTTTATTTGTTCATACTTGCAACTGATCGAGGTTGGGCGCCATTTTTTGGTTTCGTTGTCTCCGATGATGGTTCTGATGAAGTATGTGAGAACTAAAGCCGGAAATTTGGCACTTCTGACGGTATTCAGAATAGAAATAAGTACATTTGATGAAAATCGCTTTGGAGCTCAAAAACACCTTTGCCAAATTTTATCGAGATCGGCTAAGATTTGGATGTAGCTCCCATATATATATTTTCGACCGATTTCACGTTTATTGTGCACCAGATGGTTAATATCAGTCCAAATGGAGTGAATTTTAACACTTTCGAACAAATTCGGTCTAGAAGTAAGTACATCAAATTTAGTGAATATCGGTTCAGATATAGCTTTAGCTCTATATGTTTCATCCGATTTGGGATTTTAAGTCCCTCATATTCGCAATATGCACGCCACAAGAATGATATTTGGTATCAGATATCTTTTAGAGCTCGGAAGTACCTTTGTAAAATTTTATCGAGATCGGATAAGATTTGGATATAACTCCCATATATATCTTCGACCGATTTCACATTTATTGTGCACCAGATGGTTAATAGCAATCCAAATGGAGAGAATTTTGGCACTTATGACCAAATTCGGTCTAGAAGTGAGTACATCAAATGTGGTGAAAATCGGTTCAGACATAGCTTTAGCTCCCATATATATGTTTCATCCGATTTGGTGTTTAAGTCCCTTACATTCGTAATATGCACTTCAGAAGAATGATATTTGATACCAGATATCTCGGAAATTCCCTTGACAAATTTTATCGAGATCGGTTAAGATTTGGATATAGCTCCAATATATATCCTTAATACGATTTCAGGTTTATTGTGCAAATTATGGCTAATATCAGACCAAATGGAGTGCATTTCGGTGGAACTCTACTACTAAGGATGCATAGTCGTATAGTCGGACCCGCCCCACTTTTGACTTTCCTTACTGGTTTTTGTTTATATTTGAAATTTATCGAGGTTGGGCGCCATCTTTTGCGCATTAATCGGTTGTCTCTTCATCTTCGCTATTGGAATAGAATTTTAATCTGATGAAGTTGGTTTTCCTAGTGGTGTAGAACTTAAAACCGGGTTTTTTCATATTTGAAGTTTATCGAGGCTGGGTGCCATTTTTTAGATATTAGTCGGTTGTCTCTTCATCGTCGCTATTGGAACAGAATTTTAACCTTGTTCAAATTCCACTTAATAGTAATTTTTTTATGAGTAGCATTACAAATGGGTGGATGAACCTAATATACTCCATCTCCACCCTATCGCA